TGCACACAGCAGCGTGGTGAATGGGATGCAGCAGGTGTCCCAGGGATCAGCGCTAGAGTGTGGGACTATACGTTATTTTATATGTTTTTTGTTCATCTGTAGCTACTAAATGTATTTGTTTTGTAGTAAGAGAAAAAATTAAATAATTCGGAAGGTGAAACTTCTAAGTGATATAGGAAGAAAATAAATGTTAAATAGTCAGAAGGTATAACTTTTAAATGATATGACTTCTTACATGAGAAGTAGGCATTTATCCCAGATTCCCCCGTGATAGGGAAACCTGTGTGCGGCGCTAGGCCCTCGGTGTGGGATGTCTCAGACTCGGGCCTCTGACTCCCGGGTCCTCTGTTCACCTGGTGGTGGGTGGCACTCCCCGCGATTGAGATGAGTTCCAACAGTGGTCGCTGTCTCTTTCTGTGTTTAGGTTGATATCCCTGAAAGTACTGAACAGCATTGTGCTGCTGGGGAAATCCTGCCAATATGTGAAGGAGGCCAAGATGGAAGAGAAGCTGTTTGACCCCCCCCCCTCCAGCACTCCCTGCAAGCCGCCCAGTAAACCACAGAGCAAGTGCAAGCCCTCCCAAGGTAGGCGGGGCCTTCTCGTCGCTTCTCTGCTTCATCTTCCGGAGAGTTACTGTCCTCCCTCTCCCTGTAACAAATCACTGTGCTTTCAGGGTTTGACTTCACTTTATTAGTTGTTATTGCTAATGTTTCTGTTTAGATCCCATCACAGATGACCCCATGCAGTGCTCTGAGTTTTTACGTTCAGTGGATCTGCAGTGAGCACCTGTTAACGCGGGTTAACTAACAGTAATGGCATGGCTTCTGCGTTCTATTATGCATCACTAGTGCCCGGTGTGCAGATTCGTGCACATTGAGAGGAAATTAGAAGGTGGCCAGCGCGGCAGCACTGGGCAAGATGGGCCAGACACGCCCTGGAGCTACCTCCCACAGTCTCTCCCGGGTGTCTGCAGAGTGAGGGGTCCCTCCGGCAGGTGGGGTCCCTTGGCCTGGCCTGCGGGATCGGGCCAAAGCCGGCTCTCTGACATCCCCCAAGGGGTCCCAGAGTTTGAGAGGGCACTCGGCGAAGTTGCTGTCATACGGGTGTGGAACACAAACACAAGTGTGTAGTAAACCAGATTCGGGCTGACAGTGCCCCAGCAACAACATAACCCACAGCCTAAGGTAGAATCACGCAGCCCCGTGAGGAATTGGACACCATCCTCTCTGGTTTCGGGGTGCATCACCTGAGAACTGCCACTGCCAAGTCACTGCAGCTCGACAGCTCCTGCGTTGAGCGTCTTCCCACTGATGGTCAGTGCGTGTCATAGTGACCGGTTGGACAGTGGGAGGGACACTTAGTGTATTAGCCTTTTATATATATGTACACTAGAGGCCCGGTGCACAACATTTGTGCACTGAGGGGTGTGAGGGTCGCTCAGTCCGACCTGCACCCTCTCCAATCTGGGAACCCTCTCCAATCCGGGAATTTCTGTCTGTCTTTGAAATAATATGAGCCAATTGTCTGAGACCCCAACTCAGTTTGGTTTGTTGCTCACAGAATAATAGAGGCATTTTTTTTTCTTTGCTTCATTGGTGGAGACTTCCTGGAAGTCTTAGGATATATTCCCTTTAATTTTTCCTAGACACTCTGATTTTACTTATGTCTCTCACCTTTGCTTTCCCTCTATCTCCCACCGTAAAGGTAACTTGCTCCAGGCTCACTTTGCTCTAGTGTCTAGGAGATCCGTCTGCCACCAGAACTACAATTCCCAGCATTCCTGGTGCTCCCTGCACTCTGGGCTTCCGCTTCTGGCCCTGGAGCTGCCACCAGAATTATTCCCAGAATTCCTGGTGCTACCCGAGCTCTTGGTTTTCCCTTCCTGCTCTGACTCCGTCCCATGGCCTCACCCTCTCCCAAGACCTCCAAGCCACCAGCTTTCCCTCTCTGCTGTCCATCTGGCGGATTGGGGAACCAAATTCCCCAAGCCGCTCCATTGCTCCGCCAGCTCTCCTGCTATGCTCTCCACCTGGCGGCTTCCGGGGAGCGATTGAGGGAGCCAAGGCCTCCCAAGCTGCCAGCTCGCCCACTTTGCTCTCCACCCGGTGCCTGTGTATGCAAATTAACCTGCTATCTTTGTCAGGTTAATTTGCATATGCACTCCTGATTGGCTGGTGAGCATTGCAGAGGGACAATCAATTAACAGGTTTCTCTTTTATTATATAGGATAGATGCCTGCTTCTGCAATGTGCTGTTTGGTTATCATTATACTTTTTATTCAGTACCATGGTATTGGTAAGCTCATCTTTAGTATACGTTTGGAGGAAATCCTGTTCTAACTAAAGGCCCTGTTTTTCCACAGAAGAAACCTTGTCTGCCTCTGTCACCAACCAGCCTAGCCATCAGAAGGAAAATGTCATACCGTTACTTGTGACAAGTAATTCTGACCAGTTCCTGACAACTCCAGACGGTGAGGAGAAGGACATAACACAGGAAAACTCTGAACTGAAGCACAGGTCCTCAAAGAAAGATCTGTTGGACATAGACAGGTTCACAATTTGCGGAAACCGAATTGACTGAATTCTGCGGCTCCCTGTGCCAAGCGCCGAGGCCTGGGGCAGCCACAGTGCTGCCGGGGCGGACAGATGCGAAACGTGGCACTTATATATTTATTTAAAACTTAAATTATTAACAGAAAGCAAATCTGAGTAGCTTTCTTCCAGTAATGTGGCCTGGTTGAAGGTCAGGTCACGGAACAGCAGTGACCTCCAGCCTGGATGGCGTGGGGAGCCCCTCTTCCCCCGAGAAGCAGCAGTCACTCCGGCCCGATGGGAACAACCTCGAATCACTTCAACTCGGTCCGTCTGTGCTTCCAAAACATTGGCTTTGGCCGCCGGCCTCTGCAATGTAAGGGGATCTACCTGGGAAACGGAAGCTTTCCCCACAACGTTACCTGCCCTGTCCCATACTAGTTCCACAGACAGTTTCAAACTGCTTCATCTGCCAAAGCATTTAAAAAAGTAATTACACTTAAGTCAAGATAAATATTCTCACCACAGAATAATCCTGGAAGATGTATCTGAATTAATCAGAATAAAAGGCTACCTTAAATAAGACATGATGAATAGTAGCATTTTATAGGGGAAAACAAGCCCGAAGCCATTTTGTCTATTTAAAAAATATTAATTAATGAAGGTTATGCATCACAGAATATGTTTATAATTTTTCAGTTTACTCTTTAAAGCAAAATGTGAGCCGTGCATTGTTTAATTGCAGTGGGTGAAATAGAAATTACCTTACAAAGATGTACTTTTTATACTGAAAAAAGCAGAGCGGGGTTAACTTTACTGTATAGATAACTGATTACACTTTAAAACTAATTGCTTCATCAATTGTTACAGTTAAAAGGATTTGGTGTTGAATCGGCTAAAGAATTGTACTCAATTCAAAGGTGTCAACCTGTAACAGATTTTTAAGTGACAATTTTAAAGTAAATAAGTGGATTGAGCAGCCGTCTTGCTCAGGCTTTTAAAGTGCATTAGCCTTTCTGTCTGGAGTGCCTGTGCCTGTGCCTGGGGCTGGCCTGTGTCCTGTGGGAGCGTCTGTGGGGACGGCACTGCCTGGGGTGCCTGCGCTGGGGGAGGAAGCCAGTGAGGGGTGTGGGTGGCTGACTGGGAGTGGGGACGAGTTTGTGTGTAGATGTTGGGAACAGCAACCAAAAGGTGCTTTTTGGTTGGTTGAGGTCAAGATTCCATGTCTGCTTGCTTATTAGTTTGTGGCCTGCCTCATAAGACAAGCTGTTTCCCACTACATTTTAGCTTGAGAACCCTTCCTGCATCTTTATAAAAATTCTGCAGCCTCCAGTTTCAGAGTGTCCAGATGTCACTGTTCTTTCCTTTGACCTTTTCATTCTGAAGTTCGGCTCCTGTGCTGCTGTTTCAGGCACATGATGTGCGGAGGTAATTTCAGGGGGTTTGTTTCCTGGGTGAAACGTAAAGCTAGCTTGAATGCTTTGGCTTTTCCTGTGACATACAAGTGAATTTTAATGTTTTGCGTTAAGTGAAGAAATCTGAAGGTTAATGTTCACGTGGGATAAAAGGAAACTGTACAGAAATGCTTTTGTGAGACCGCGAAGTACTTCGCGTTAAAAATGAAAAGACTTTTAAGTTGCTTTGTGTGTTTCAATGAAGCACCATTTTAGAATTATTTTGTTCTCATCTTTTCTCCTCCATCAAAAAGAACAATGTCCACAATGAATAGGAATAGTTTTGGGGAAAACTTTGCCAAACAGAGCCCTAATCAGAGCAAAAATACGGCAGGGGTGTATCTTCCACTTCAGCTCGAATTATTCTGTGACTGTGCTGTCAATTCCGCAAGATTTTAATTTCCTTTGCAGGATGTATTGGGAGTTCGGAATGATGTTCATTTCTTCTGTCAAAATGGCATTCAGTACTAATTTTATAAGTGCATCTTGTGTGAAACTCAATAAATTCAATTTTGTAATCTTTTTTAAAAAGGTCACTGAATTTATTTTCATAATGTTTACTGTTATATTTGGTAGAGTGAATTTCCCATTCTGTAAGAATTTATTTCTAATTTACAAGTGGCAGGACTAGTTTGAATTATTCTTTTGGTCATAATGGTGGCAAAATGTTTGAATTTGTCTTTAGGAAACAAAAGGCTGAGTCTCGATCATAGACCGTTTAATATCTGTCAGTACATGAAGGGACCTGCATTTTACAAGTCTTTGTAATGTCACACAATATGCTTTTCACATCTGGGAGTTAAGACAGGACTTTGGGCCAGCCAATGTGGCTCAGTGGTTGAGCATCAACCTGTGAACCAGGAAGTCATGGTTTGATTCCCCAGGCACATGCCTGGGTTTCCGCCTCAATCCCCAATAGGGGGCATGCAGGAGGCAGCGAGCAATGATCATTCCTCATCATTGATGTTTCTATCACTCCCTCACCCTTCCTCTCTGAAATCAATAAAAATATATATTTTTTAAAAAAGACAGTGCTTTGGTTTTAAAAATAATCTCAGCCACAACATAGGGTCAGACTCTTACTAGCTTTCCTTTGGAGTTGAAACGTAACACAGGGTCATTCAGGAGCTTGTGCAGACCTTCTTGGTACTTGGTACTTTTGTATTTTGTCTAGCATGTGGATGTTATATTCTTTACACATGGTAGAACCTTTTTATCATTAGATCCTCAAAAATATTCCTTCTGCTCTTGGTGACTAAGCAGAGCACACACATCATAAAATAATTTAAAACCACTGCATTGTGAAATGTCTCAGCTTTATTTTTTCTTTCAGTGGAGATTTATTAATCGCCCGTGCGTCAGGACTATTGGATGCTGCGATCAGCAGTGGACAAAGTCCCTGTCCTCCTGGGGAAGGCCCATAGCAAACACGTCAGCGAACTAGTGTGCTGGAGACAGCTAAGCCCAAGTGGTCTCCCCTTGGTTTCATTCTGAAATAAATCCAGTTGTTTAACATTTTTATGTAAGTTAAGTCTTATTTTTTTTCTACTGAATTTGCTTAAAAAAGATAATTGAGTAGCGGTTTCAAGTGCCTCTGTAAAATAAAAGAAATAAAATGCTCCTTTACTGAAGACCCTGGTTGTCCATACTGACAGAGTGCTAGCTGGGCACCGAGCTTTCTAGTTAGGGACTGCTTTCCCGAGTCCGTCCTGCTGTTCCACGTGGCCAAGGGGCTAATCCTCACCAAGGGATGGAAGTTGAAGGGGTGTATGCCATTTCAGGTCCCTTCCACCTTCTCTCTGCTTCCCACCAGCAGGAACCCAGCGGTGTGCCCTCAGCCAGCCATGCAGACAAATGCTTGGCGCTCTCAGCACCCAGGGAAGGAACCTGGGTCCACGGAGGCCTCTGCAGAGCCTTCCACACAGCTCTGCCTACAGCGAGAGCAACGCATGCCTTCGTTTCCAAGCCACGGAGTGTGGAGGGGCTATCACAGCCCACGTCCATATGCCAGGGACTCTGAAAGGGCCCAGTGAGAGATCTTCATATAGGAGTGCGGGTTAGGCCTGACTCTCTAAAACCTGTGCTTCTGAAATACTCTTGGATTCACGTTTACCATTGTTTTTAGAGGAAAAGATAAAAATTACTATGTGGTCAGCCTCCCGGCACCCTGGTTCGTCTTAGCTGAACATTGAGCATGCTCATCAGTGGCACAGTCCTCTTTGATCAGATGCTCTACCAGACAGCCATGCCTTGCCCCTTCTTCCTCAGGAAAGTGGGGTGCACAGTCACAGAGCAGGTGAGTATAGCCCGCCAGCACAGAGACGTGGAGGCAGAAGGACTTCATATGTCCGAAGAGCAGCACTGGACTTCCTCCACTCAGGTACGTGTCTGGGTGCCTGGCCAGTGCCAACACACATGCTGAGAACACTTGAAAGGATAGCTTTGTTCTAGGGAAACCAGCGGAGGAGGCAGGGGCTGGATCTTGGAGAACTTTTAATGCCTTACCGAGAATCCTGGGCTCGATCCCATAGGCCAGGGGTGGGCAAACTTTTTGACTCGAGGGCCACAATGGGTTCTTAAACTGGACCAGAGGGCTGGAACAAAAGCATGGATGGAGTGTTTGTGTGAACTAATATAAATTCAAAGTAAACATCATTACATAAAAGGGTACGGTCTTTTTTTTTCAATAGTTTTATTCATTTCAAACAGGCCGGATCCGGCCAGCGGGCAGTAGTTTGCCCACGGCTGCCATAGGCAATGGGGGAGCGTAAGTGGAATCTGAAGTTGGATTGCGGTAACTACCAAATGAGAGGATAAATGGAAAAAATGACTGTAAACTATAAAGTGTTACATAACTTGTTCAGGATCACACAGGAGCACCCATCAGAGCAGAAGTGAAACCCCATCCATTCCTCTGTGCTGTAGGCTGCTTGTGAGAAGAGGGGGAAGCACAGGCCCCCTAAGGAGGCAACTGCCGTAATGCATGCCAGACTAGTAGGACTTGGGATGTAGGGCAGTGACCTTGTGGATAGCAAATGTGTAGGATGTTCACCCCTCCAGGAAGTACAGGAGAGGGCCAGCTGGTGTTGGAGCCAGGACTTGCTCTATGTGACACAGCAAACCTCAGTCTGCTCATCTGTAAATTGGGCCTAATACCCACTTCGCAGGGTTTGGGGAGGAGCAAAGGAGAATGCATCTGAAACTTGGGTTACAAATGCCACAGAACTGTACGAAACCACATTGTGTTGACCATCATTGCCTGAAGCCTCAGAGTCTAGTTCAGTGGTCCTCAAAGTGTGGTCCCTGGACCAGCAGCAGCCCAATATCTGGAACACGTTACACATTCAGGTTCTTGGTCCTACCAAGACCTGCTGAGTCAGAAACTGGGAGGCGGCCCAACCACCTGTGTTTACGGCCTTCCAGGGGATTTGCACGCATGTTCAAGTTTGAGAACCGCTGACCCAGATCTGGACCTGAGAATTAGGGGGCCAAACACAGCTCCATCTGCTTTTCACAGGAAAGACTGGAGAGACGAAAATAGAATCTGGGGTCAAATTCTGTTTCTGACTAATGTCATTTGCTCAAGGCCAGGTAACTGGACAGAACCAGGGGTTCCAGATGTCCTCAAACGCCAGCGCTCCGCCCACCATACCCTCAAGGCTCCACCCCTCCCACAGTTGTGGAACCTTCCACACTAGCCATGCAGAGCCCCCAGAGCACTGGGTCCAGGCACCACATGATGCTCCAGAGCTCTGATCACCAAGCCAAGATGAGAACGGAGGAAAGGACACAGTCCACCAGGTGGAGCAGGTGAGCACCAGCACCCTTTGTGAGAATTCCTTTGGCTCTCAGAGTGCGATGTCTGCTCTAGGATCCTGAGATGGAGCACACAAGGCAGGAACACAAGGTTCTTCTCTTCAGAAGCATATATTACAGTGGAGAAACCAGAGAATACAAGTGGGAGCAGTTGAGGTTTGAGGAGGTTGATGGATGCTGTGGAGAGAACAAGGTAATATGATAATAGGGACATGATGCTTTCCTGACACTAGCCGGTCAGGGAGGCCTCTAAGAGGTGATACATTCCTGGCCAGTGTGGCTCAGTGGTTGAGTGTTGACCTATGAACCAGGAGGTCACAGTTCGATTCCCAGCCAAGGCACATGCCCGGGTTGCAGGCTCGATCCACAGTGTAGTGTGCACAGGAGGTAGCTGATCAGTGATTCTCATCATTGATGTTTCTATCTCCCTCTCTGAAATCAATAAAAATATATTTTAAAGAGAAAGAAAAAAAAGTGATAGATACGTGAGCTGCGAAGGAGCCTCATTCGGGCAGAGACCAGCAGTTCAATCTGCTGTGAGAGAGTGAGCAGGTGTTTTCCAGCAGCTGCTGGGTGAGTATCTGATCGTAATCAGTGCTCGTCCTGACATAAACCAGTCCCCCTCTCAGCCTCCCACTGAGCTGGATCCTGGGACAGGTCAGTGTCCTGACCTGGTCAAACAAGTCAAGTGATTCCGTGCACCTGGTAGCATCCACGTACTAGTACCCGGGACTGCCCCCAACCCTTTACCTTATTCCTGGACTCTGGCGAAGAGGTGCAGACACCCATTTCATCTTGCAGCTGCCCAAAGTGTGCGTTGTACATAAGTTTCCCTAATAAACTTGGTCAATTACCAGAATGGAGTGCCCAGCCTCTTTCTCCTGTCTTTCCCTGCCCTCTGCTTTTGGAGGTAGAGTTTCAGGCTAGGGGTCTCCTCTTGGGTCTGGGTGTACTAACAGATTTCAACATATACATTGGGGGAGGGGGGAGGGGAGAGCCCATAGCAGAGAGTTGCCCTCGGTCAGGCGTGCCCAGGCCCAGCTTCCAGCAGCCTTTCCTCCCAGAGTGCATTTCTCCACTCACAGGCCGACCCACCGCAGGGCTGTTGGCCTGGCTTGGCGCTGTTTCTCCAGCTGTGCTCATGTTGAGACTGTGTCCCTGCGATTTTCTCTCCTGGAGGACACATTTTCCTGGTGTCTTTCATGCACAGTCATTGCAAATGCTCCACCAAGCTCTGCTGACACTTGTCTTCTGGATATTTCCCCCAGTGGCTTTGAACTTGAGTCATTGTCCAGGGGCCAAGGCATGGAGAGCATCGGACATATTGGGTGCTGCCCGGGGGATACAGCACTCAGCATCCTCTCCCCTTCATCGTCGGGGCCCCAACAGGCTGAGGACAGAGCAGTCGGGCACGAAATGATCCCCATTCTGTCTAGACTGGACACAAGACCCCCTAAGAGAGGGCTGGGCTCAGTCTCCTTTATGTTCAGAAGTGAAGCACCTCTGCTCTCACCAGTGGCCTTCGCCATCCACTGAAGGAGCACTCCACCGCGTCTTCGATGGTGCCCCATCCTGATATTGCAGTGAAGTCCGGCTCCTGTCCCTTTGAGGTGTCAGCTTCCTTGTCATGAAGGTGATGGTCGGTGAGGATGGACCCAGAAGGGGTCCCATTCCCATGATGCCTTTGCGACTCTGCCTGTAAAGGGGAGATTATCTAACACATTTTGTAGACACTGCAGAGATGTGTACCCCCTGAACAAAGGAATCTTACTTATTATCTTCCATTAATAAACTCAAAAAACGAAGCAGGAAGACAACCCCCTCCCCACACCCACCCACCCCCCAAAAAAATCTCTGCATTGTGCTGCCTATGAGCATGGCCTCTGAGACTCGCTGCGGTATTTTCTGGAATGATGCTGTACTAGGCATGTGTCTTTATGTGCTACCTTGAGTCCTTGGGAGATGGTGGCCAATAACGAATTAATAAACAGAAACAAAACCTCCATTCTCTGGCAAAGTTGGGCTCCCCTGGACTGCCAGCTGAGAGAAACAAATGATCATGATGTGACGATGCTAACCCTTGTATTTTTGGGGGACCTGATACTTTCTGGACTGTGTTCCCATCCATTGTTTAGTGGAGGAAATCAGCTCAATGACTCTCATTTTTCCAAGTAGGAAAACAAGGCCTGGGAGGTTGGACAATCGGCCCTGCACACCTGGCTAGTGATGGAGACAAACCCAGGCCTCTTACCCACCACCCCGAGTTAGTCCCAGGGTCCCCTGAGGAGAACACCCTCCTCCCACTGAAAATTAAACTCCTACGATCACCTAATTAAATCTGCATTAATGAGCTGTCATTTTAGCACAGATGACTGCTCTTGATGTCGTCTTTCCTCCTCTTTGCAAAAGTCCTTTTACTTCCCACTATTTCATTGGGTCGCACAACAGCCCCCTGGCAAGGGCTGACCTGGTTTAAAAAAGCAGAAAAGAGACCCTAACTGTGGATTAGAACCTTCTCTGTGTCCATCAACTCAGCCTCCACTCAAAAGGCAGCCTCCTAGCCCCTGGGGGTCACCCTAGACCGGGCCATTTCCCCTCTGCTGTTTTGATCAAAGGATAATAAGCTTTTATTTTTGAGTAGACTAGCCATTTACAGCTCACCAAGAGCCTGTAACCACAGCCCACGGGCTGTTTGAGGGGCCTGCGAGGTTGTAAGGAATAGGACTCGTTTGTGTTTGTGGGGGTTTCTCCCCACGTCTGGACACCGCTAAAGGACTGTAGGTGCTTCAGTTCCTTCATCCTGCACTCACATTTCTGTCATGTCTACTTTTATAGGTAAGATTTCGAGGCTTCAGGGGAAGCAGCAAGTTCAAAGGAACACATTCCCAGGATTGGACGAGCAGCAGGGAGTTGGAATTCTTTCAAAATGTAATTTCCCGCAAAACTGCCATTATTTGAGCTAAAGCCAACCAACTGAGACCCTGTGGTCTCTAGAGAAATTTTGCACCCCTGACCCTTAACTACCTAGAAGATCTTAAATTAGTGGCCCATAATGAGAGATGATCAGAGATAACCTTCTGACCTATCAGTAGGGCAGGGCAAACTACTAATTACTGAACACCTGTTCTTGTCCTGAGAACGCCCCTTCTCCTCTCTGGAGCCCCAGGGCATCTAACCACATAGCTGACTCATAATTTGATATTTACCTATCCCCCCCCCCTTTTTTC